ATTTTACAAAACACTTTTATCATATAAACTAGTTTTTCAGCTATAAGTAATGAGCTATAAACTATAAGCTTGAAAATCACTTATAAGCTATAAACTAACTTATTAACTATCAACTAGTTTATCAGCCAGTTTTACCTATATGTGAATTAGTATTATTGTATCTAATTAATCTTTTACTCTTTAGAAACACTTTTAAGTACAAAATAAAAATAAAAGAAAATCAAAACAAATTGGACTGTATATTAATTGTTTCATTCAAGTTTGTTCATGAAAAGCTTGTTGACACATTCGTATTTGATTCCATTATAGCCCAATTTACCTAAGAATTGGTTTTCCAAACAAAACTGACTTCTGTGGATTCTGGATTGTATTCTTATAGCACCACAATTAGCCATATATAATATACGGTTTTGCTATGAAACCAACAGTTGGCTTCATAGTGGAGCCAACTTTCTATATACAACAATTAAACCTATTATATTCTCGGATTACTTAAATAATACTAATATAATTTTATTAATATGATAGATTTATTTATTGTATATAGAAGGTTGACTCTACTATGGAGCCAACTGTTGGCTTAATATCAAAACCGATATAATATATAGATCAGAATCAGATCAAATCCTTTATTCCAAGATCCTTATTTCAAATTGTGATATAATACTAAATACATGGAAGTAAAAGAAATTATTACTATACTAAGATGGAAGATGAGATCTGTCCGGATCATATGGAACAAGTCCAAAAAAATTTACCAGAGGGGACAAATGAGACAAAAGAAGTTTGAAGTTGTCAAACAAAAAATGAGTAATTAGTTAGAGAGTACTGATTTATTCCTTAAAGTAGTTCTGGTACAATAGGTACACGGCAATACCTTATACCAAAATAAACAAATAAATAAATAAAATCAAGAAAGAGTAAAAGTTGCACGGAATTGAACGTGTTCTGTTGTTGATCAGCCACACGAGTTGCATTTTCACAATCTGAAAATGCTTTTAGCCATCTTTTTTACGAATCAAGCAAAATATAAGGATTTTACTTTTCATTATTTTTGTTACGAAATTTGAGTATGGATAATATATATATGGTTATATCTTCATTAGCTCAACTTTTACTTTTAGTGACTAGTTTGGAAATATATCGAACTAAAAAAAATTGATATATTATATGCGCATTATGCATAATTTTTAGTGGCAAGATAATCCAATATCTTAAAGTTGACAAAAGAATATAAATTAGCTTGATATAAGTAAAATAGGATAAATTCAGGAATAGATTGTTTTACCATTGATGAAAATCAGACATTTTACATTATTATTATTATTATTATTATTATTATTATTATTACATATAAACTGGATTTGAACATCTTATGACAATTTTATAGGACTACTGCTTGTTTATTTGGAAAGACGAAGTCAAAAGATTTGATTGTTAACTTGCCATGATAAAGGTCTAAAAATAATGCAGAATTGTTAAAGAACATGGTGTGTTTGTCTGTTATTTATCATTTTCCAATCGATATTATGAAGTTATAACTTATAACAAAAGTAATTTACGGCAAAACATATAAAACCCACGAATATTGTCGTTTATATCTTTAAATTCTGTGAACTGAAAATTTAAAATAATTCAATAGCCTATGTTATTATTTTTATCTATTTATTGGAAAAAAAAGACACGCATTTGGCTTCATGTCCAAAACCAATCTCTTCAAAAGATCCCAACATTTTTATTTTTTCTGGTCATTTTGCACTAAGTTCACCTATATAATATGTTGTTTGGACATAGTAACAGTAAGGTGTGTTCAATGCTAGTTTCTTTGTGTACGTCTTCAATATATGTATCAACACTTCATTTATTAATCCAGCTAATAATATTATTATCACTAAGGGGAGATATGATACTTTTCAATTTTGTTAAGCAGCCAACAGTAGGCTCCATAGTGGAACCAACCTTCTATATACAAAAAGTAAATCATACCATATTAATAAAATTATTAGTATTATTTAAGTAATTAGAGAATATGATTTAATTTATTTGTTGTATATAGAAGGTTGGCTCCATTATGGAGCCAACTGTTGGTTTCTTAAAAAAACTGGCAACCATAGATGCTCTTTCGTCGTTGAGTATGCTTCTTGAAGCGAACTTACTCTTTTCCCAGAGACCACGGAATTGTATCGTCAATGACTATCGGCGCCTTGACCCTTGCCTGTGAAATGTTGGTTGTCCGGGTCGGGTCTTTGTCAGCTTGTTAGTCTAGTTTTATATGGATTTCGGTTTTCTGTCTATAAAGGTGTCAGATATTGAAGGTGGATAAATAAGTAGGAAAGGGGCATCCTGCCCTGCATGCGTTAGCCGAGTGATAGTATTGTAGCACCAAGTTGGCCACTGCTTTGGCCGGCTACTAGTCATGCAGCGACTGCTTTGCTTGGTCGACCCCACCTCAACCAGTTTTGTTAAGAAGCCAACAGTTGGCTCCATAGTGGAGTCAACCTTCTATATACAGCAAGTAAACTATACCATATTCTTTGGTTACATAAATAATACTAATAAATTTATTAATATGTATGATTTACTTTTTGTATATAGAAGGTTGGCTCCATTATGAAGCCAACTGTTGGCTTTATAACAAAACTGTTGAAGTTGAATTCTTCATGTAAAGACCAGTAGACAAATTATAAAAATGATAGGTATGTTTCAGCGACTAAAACTAGATAAGTGATGTGGCAAATTAAATTGGGTAGATTATTCTTTGTATATGTATATATTTTTATTCATTACTATTATCTTATGTTGCCCAATTTAGGAATTCATTTTCTATGTCAAACTATATGTCTGTTTATCACATTAAATATTCGATATTGGAAAAACTAAATATGCATATATGGTGATTTTGCCATTCTAATTTATAATTCAGTAGCCTATGCGTGTGTACCACGTGTGATGCACGAGAACAATATTAAATTAGCAATATTATAAATAGACCTCGAGTTTGAGTCACTCAATTGCGGAAGTGGAAACTACTATTGATCCTATCTAAAAAGAGAAAGAAAAAAATAATTATAAATTAGTGAGAAGGATAAACAATACTTAATAGGAAAAATTACACTTTGCCTACCGAACTATCCGCGCTTTTACACTTTGCCCACTCAACCTTTTCCGGTGACACTTTACCCCTTGAACTTCACATATTCTTGCACTTAACGACTTCCGGCACCGGAGATGCAAAATCAAGGGCAAAATCGTCATTTACACCTTAGGAGACACCTCAAATTAGTCTTCACGAGTACACTTTGCCTACTGAACTATTCGCGTTTTTACACTTTGCCCTTGATTTTGCATCTCCGGTGGCCGGAAGTCGTTAAGTGTAAGAAAATGTGAAGTTCAAGGGGTAAAATGTCACCGAAAAAAGTTGAGTGGGCAAAGTGTAAAAACGCGGATAGTTCGGTAGGCAAAGTGTAATTTTCCCTATAAGAGAATATGAAATTTACATTATTTTGTATAAGAGAATATACAATATATATGTTTAATATTAAAAACACCTAAAATATTATATTAATATATGTAAAAGTATTCAAAATTTTCTATATTATTTTTGAAAGATGTGAAGTCACCTACAACTTTTCTAAACAATTTTAGAAGGAAAACATATCTAAAAACATTTGAATTTAACATTGTGTAAAAAAGATTTTTCTAGACTATTTTGTAAAGAAAACATGTCTACAAATATTTAAATTTAACATCAATTATGTATATGTGTATATATATATATATATATATATATATATGTATATATAGAAGAATATGTAAAAAAAATGTCTAAACGATTTGTTTAAAATATCTAAAATATTATAAGCATAATTTAAAAAAGACATTATGTGAGATGATACCGAATTTATGGCGTTACTTGCATCTATAATATTTGATTACACACCATTATTATTATACTTCTTACATTGTTATCGAGGATGTATTGTTAGCTTATAATATTTGTAAAAATATTAGTAATTAGACCGATGAAAAATTAACTTTTAAAGTAGAGAATGAATTTCTAGTAGTAATTATGAATTGGTTTTTATTTTATTTTAAGATGAGATTTTTTAAACTCGTGAGATCGTATGAAATGGGATTTTGTAACAGATAAGAGATAAACTCTAGATTTATGCTATGAGATTTTATAACGCAATTTTCAATACCAAAAAACAGGAAAAAGGAAAATAGATTCTAACACAATTAATCTGCCGATTTTGTTTCCTTATCAATATTGTTCAATAATTACTATATATAGGATACATTTAATGTATTTGGCGGGAAAACATTTCTAAAATTGTAAAAAGGTTATTCATTTTATATAATGATAGATTTATCTTGAAACAATGTATTATGTTTCCCTATTACGTTGATGTTTTAATAATAATTGAATGAGATATATTATTAGATGAGAAGAAAATTTTATAATAATAATATTATTATTTTTTCAAAACCATAGAAATTTTTTAAAAACTAAAACCACGTAATTACAACTACAAAATAGCTAGAATAGCCAAACAACCAACCAGTTGAATTCAGGAGGCCTACATGGAGGTAACCTAAAATCAACTATACTAACTCATCCATAACACAACACAACAGGAGAATAACATGCTCCCAACAGAAGAAAACACGTTCCCAAATAGGAGAAACCACAAACTCACCCACAAGAAAGACTAAAAACTAAAAACCAATACCACACACAAGCACAACACCACAACGAATCTAAGAACTAAATGAGACAAACTAAAGCCCTCCCAACAGACAAGGATCCACTCCCAATCCCTATGCCCGATCCTATACCCAGGTAGCCACCCCAGAAACGGTAAGAGAAGACATGCACCCAGGTTCCTCCAAACCAACCAGAAACTGCCATCCAGAGAAAAGGGCTGAAGCCGCCTCCATCTGGAGCCCCTGTATGCCCAGCACCAGAGCAAATACATGAGACATAGAAATCAAAGCACATGTCAGAGAATCTGACGATCCGCCGCAGCCGGCCATCAAAAACCGCCGCCCTAAGCAAACCTGGCAAAACCGATGGACTCCAAAACACCATCGCCATCAGTTAACAGAGGAAACCTAGGTAGAGGAAGACCGCATCAACTATAGTTTCTCACAAGTGACGCTGCAACCAGCCACAGGCACCGAACCAAAACAGAAGAGGGGAACCACAACTCCAAACACTACCCCACGCACCACCCAAGGGAAATTGAGGGTCCGGAAAACCGCAACCACAATCACTACGCCAGCCACCAGCATGAAATGCCAACGCCAGACTCCATGCTTCTCCGACAAACAACAACCTCTAAAAGCAGCCCGATGGCTGAAGCCCCAAAGCGAAAAGGAGAAGTCAACCTTACCTAGAGTAGCGGCGTCTGGCTAAGACCGCCTAGGGGGGAGAGGAGTTGTTGGATCACCCCGCCGGAGAGGAGGCATACCGCTCACACAGATCTAGATTTACATTACGATGGAAACAAAAAAATTAGAGAGAGAAATTAGGTAGTATACCATAATTAATTTAAAACTTGATTTTGATAATAATAATAATATTAGATGAGTAAAAATATTGATAATAAATGAAGTATTGATACAGAGAAACTAACATTAAACACACCTAACTGTTAATAAGGTGTTGACACATAAATGAAGTGTAGGTAGATGAAATCCAGCTAACATATGAAGTATAGGTAAAAGAAATCCCCTTATGAAGAGCTAATAAGGGTTGAAATCTAGCTCTCCAGTGAGGTTCGAACGTAGAAGAATCGGGTTTTCAAAATGTAAAAGAATTGGATTTTCCAGGCCAAGATATTATTCGAAAGTAGGTCCTTCAGAAATGTGGCTCCGCTGCGAGTTGTGAGGTAGTGAGGCCCCATTTCCATCTTCATGCAATAGCAATATAAAAAGAGGTCAGACTTGAGGGCCCATAGTCACATCCAACTAAGTCTAGTGAAGCAAACCATCAAGCAGAATGCGTTAGGGGAGAAATGATTTATGTGAAGACAACTCACTAAGGAGAAAGAGGTCGACTTGGGTAGGGAATCGCATACCACTGCGGACCTAGTCCTAGAAAAAGGTGTAGTATTTGTCATATTTTTGTTGTAATTTTTGTTATTGGCTTGTTAGTATTTTTCTCACGTTTTAGTCTCTTAGGTTTTTCAGTTCACCTAGTCAATACTTGTGTGTTTTACTTTATTTAAGTTTTTCTATGTTTTCTGTCGTCTTCTCCGCGTTCTTTTGTTTTCTTGTTGTTGGAGGTGCGCAGGTTCGAAGTTTGACCAGATATTGGGAGTTAAACTAGCCCAAATAGAAAGTGACCCCACAGGTTGTGCATGCTCATTTTTCGAGTCAGAATGCCCGAGAGTCTCGTTTAACCTCAAGTGGTCCAAATGTGCAAAAACCAGCTATCCACTTCAGGAAGAACCTAAAAACCAAGCCAAATCACCGAAAACCAAGACGAGATGCTGAGAATAAAGTCAAGACAGGCCTAGAGTGGGGCCTTGCACGCGCGACGACCCATCGCGTGCTTGTTTCCCAACAGTTTCGACATCGTGCACGCTGGGATGTTGAACCTAGGGTCGCGTAAAGTGAACATGTTCTTCTAATCCAATTGAACTACTTTAGAACTGAAAGGGGAGAAGTTGTTCGATCTAGACTCGTATGTAGTAGACTTGTTCGTAACTTTATTGCTTATGTGTTGATTTGCTTTGACAATCTGCCATTCATGTTTATTCTCTTGTTACGAAAAATTATTGAGGATAAATCTCTAGACGTGTAGTTTAGTCGAACCCTTTAACTGAATAATTGATTGCCCGCTATTTGCGTTTGGAACCAGAAACAATTATCATTGAATCTGTATCTTCTTTATAAATTTATGAAATTTGTTCAAAATTTGGAAATTGGGCAATTGCATTTTTCTTGGGATCATTAGCTGATAATTGAAACCAGACCTACTTGAATTAGAGTGTTTAGGATTGAATTTTATTTTCTCATGCTTGAATACACGTGCAAAATAATTAGGTTGTCCTTCCTTGCGATATGTCCTGGGATCGATTCCTTTAAATCAACTCCGGTAAAAAGAAGTACAACATGTAGCAGTCGTAGAGGGAAAGGTCGAAAGAATTTAATTTATTTAGAAGTCACGAGCTCCCAAGTAAGGGGAGCTCGCATAAGGTTTTGAAATTTTTGAGCTGCCTAGAGGTCACGTAGGTGAATGGGTCTAGTATACGTGACTCCCCCATCTCGAGCAGCTCGATGAAAGATGGCGGACCAACAACATTTAGTCACGGGGGGTGAGTTATGGGTAGACGCGTGAGGTCAGGCAGGGCTCTCGGGCTCTTGGTAGGCCGCTGGGTGTGTTTCAATAAGATTTTCCATTTCGTGCCAGCTGACTTCACCCTCGGGATCGTCCAACAACCCAAGAGGATGGGTTTCAACTAAAGGTTCAAATGAGAGGTCGATTATTACGATAGACGAGGAAGAATCATCGGACAGCTCGTTCTGGTTTATACTACGATCGGACTACAAATTGTGAGACATGTTTGACGAGATATAGGAAGAAAATGCGGGTAGAATGAAAACTCAATAAGGGTCGAAGACGAACGGAAGAAAAGACATAACATTGAACCATAGTTCTTAAAAACAAAAAATGAGAGAAGGGAAAATATAAAAAATACATAGCCATATCTTGTTTAGTGTCAAGCTTGAGGAGCTTTTATGAAAAGGAGAAACGGTAAATATGCCGAAAAAATGGAAAGATATAAATGCTTAAGTTTGTCAGAAGCCTAAAAATTAAAATGGGAGAAAGAGATGTCCTTTTAGGTGATGAGTTGGGCTACGTTAGAGGTCAGGGATGCAGACCTGTTGGATCGACGGTTACACCTGCAGCATTCGACGATGAGATGATCCACCTTGATCGTCGGAGAATATATTTTGGAAGTACTTTACTCGGAACCCTTTCGATGCTTTCGAGGTACTTTAATGAGAAGGTCAAAGATGATTTGGATATCCAAACAAGGCTAGTTACCTAAAACCAAAGTTATTTGGTAGATCCTTATTAAACTGGCGTTGTCTATAGGGACACCAAGTTCTACTATGGTGGAAGCAAAACTGCATTCTTCCACAACTTTTACCATGTCTCTATCAATATAAATGACATGGGAAGAAGGAGCTAGTAGAGAGAAGGGTTGCGATGATACTTGGCTAGAAAACCGACCTCTTTGTTGATTTAAAGACTATTTTTGTGTAATAACTATTAAATGATGATCGACGATATCGATTACATTGTCAAAATGAGGTGAAGTATGATGATGAAATAAGACTGTTCAAAAAGGAACTGGAATTTTAATAATTAAAGAAGTTTTTGTACATCACTAAAACAAAACAAACATAACAAAGAACATTATGCCTTATTCCAATGAAGTCCATGGCTTGGTCTGCTCCTGGGCTGAGGCTGGTGGTACTGGAAATTCGAGCTTACCTTCTAGCCCAACCTCCTTAACAAAGTGCTTGATGACTGATTTCAACCACAGGTGGTCCTCGGGCAGGTCAGGGTAGACGCTAAAACCATCAGGGACCGACAAGTTCCCGGTGGTCGCAGCGTCGCCAAAGGTCCTCGTAAACCCTTATTGAACTGCTTGCTCCATGGTTCAATTCATAAAAATGTACATGAACTGTGTGGCTGAGAGGACGAGCCAAAACATGAAGAAGACTAAATTTTTGAACAACTTCAACAGCTCATCGTGGTATACTTCTAGAAACTGCTAACATGTCTCCGAGGACAGAAAGCCAGAACGGCCCTCTTAGCACAGGTTATTGGCCTCAGCGATGCTTACATAACACCTCGTACGTCTTATGATCGCTCTCCTCGACCTAGGCTCAAAGCTTCAAATTGGTGTTGGTGAGCTCGAGCTTTAGTTTCTTATCCTGAGCAATGATGATCTTCTGCAGCTCGTCACACACCTCTGCTGCAACTCATATTTCTACCACTTAAACTAGACTAGATTATCCTTTTGTAGTTGGATGACCTCCCTGGACTAGTAGTGCTCGTTTGGAGATTCTCCAACTTCTGTTTCATCTTCTGCAGCTCGTTGGAGGCGCTCTCGTCGATGCCTTCCATGAACATGGAAGTGATAGAAGAAATGAGTTGAAGACGAGAACCGAGTTAGCTATAGTTATGATATTTTCAACTAAAGATAATGTGGAATCGATGTACCTGGGCGAGCTTCAGCACAGTATAACAAGCTCTCACACGTGGTTTCCTTCAAACCGCTTCACATTAGCCTTGGGCTTAATGGAATATACGTAATACACGAGCTGCTTGGGGTCGTTGTTGTCCCACAAACTCCTCGAGCTGTTGGACCATCACACTAGGTCACTTATCAGTGGTGAAAGCTCGAGCTCTCTTCCTGGATTCGACTTGCTATGTCTTAGTTGGACGACGGGTCGAGGGCCATTTGGATTGCTCAGGCATGACATTTCGCCGAGATGGTTTCTCACCGGTGATGCTCGGGCGCGTTAGCTAAGGCAGGACGTGATCCTCGAAACTCCTGTCGATTGAGCTTCCTTGGTGGTCAATAAGCCACCGGTAGCCTTCTTCCTCTACGAGCTCGAGAGGTTTGTTAGTACCAAAGTCATCGTCGTCAAAAGGTTTGTGCACTAAGGTTAACCCCACTTGACAATGAATGCTCGCGACGCCAGCGATCTTGATCGTTTCGAGGGGCACCTGGTTCCACTATTCGATGATTTGGTCCCAACGAGGGTTGTCTTGGGGCTTGTTCTTTTGACCATTGAGGTAGGTTGTACACCCACTCAGGTGAATGATACAACTCACCAGGTGGGGGTCGGATGTAGAAAAATACGGGTTTTTAGGCCGTGATATTCGAAGGTAGGTCCTACAGAAATGTAGCTCCGTTGCGAGTTGTGAGGTAGTGAGACTCCATTTGCATTTTCAAGATGTAGCAATATAATAAGAGGTCAAGCTTGAGGACCCAGATTTGGATGTGACTAAGTACAGTGAAGCAAACTGTCAAGTGGAATGCGTTGGGGGAGAAATGATTAAAGCGAAGGTGGTACAACTTGCTAAGGAGTAGGAGGTCATCTAGGGTAGGGAATCGCAGACCGCTGTGGACCTAGTCCTTGAAAAAGGTACAACGGTCGTAATGGGAAAGGTCGAAAGAATTCGATTGATTTAGGAGCCACTAGCTCCCAAGTGAGGGGGAGCTTGAGAAGGTTTTGAAAGTATTAAGCTACTCAGAGGTTGCGTAGGTGAATGGGTTCAGTGTACCTAATTTTCTCATCTCAAGTAGCTCGGCCAATGATGGTTGTCCCAGGACATTTAGTTAGGGGGTGAGTTATGGGTAGGCGCCTGAGGTCGGAAGGGGTTTTGGGCTCTTGGGAGGTCGCTGGGTGTGTTTCGATAAGTTTTTCTTGTTCGTGCTAGGTGACTTCACCCTCGGGCTTGTCCAACAGCACGAGCGGATGGGTTTCAACTAATGGTTCGATTATTGCGATTGATGGGAAAGAATCGTAAGATAACTCATTTTGCTTTATGTTGCAATCAGACTGTGAATTATGAGACATGGATGATGAGATATATGAAGAAAATGGGGGTAGAATGAAAACTCAATTAGTGTTGAAGATGAACGGACGAAAAGACATAATTTCTTAAAAAAATGAGAAAAAGCGGAAAAATAAGAAAGACATACCCATATCTTGTTTACTAACTTGGGGTGCTTGTATCAATAGAAGAAATGATAAATATGCTTTTTTTTGTTCGAAACGATAGGGATACTATTATAAATAAGGGGCACAAAAGTGCAAATCGAAAGCAGTCCACAGTTGAATGACACAACTGAGAGTTAAAAACTGAGAGGACCGATCCGGAGATCGCCTAGAGACGCGCTAGCAATACTAGATTGCCACACCACAACACTAAACTAAACTACAAGGCTCCCAATAGGAGAATACCTGCTCACACTCGGGTTTACTATAGAGGTCAACGACCAAAACCAAAAAAATAGACTCTTAAACGGCCTACTAGACAAACACAAAATAAACAAATAAATAAAAACCAAAATAAAACCAAGCCCTTCCACAACCAATAAATCGAGTCGAACCAGAAGAGTAACAGTCAACCGAAGGATGGATCAGCAGCCCGAGAAACCAGCTTCCGAAACTACCTAAAATGCCTAACCAAAGCTGATACCAAGCCCCAAGCCAGTCCCAAAAGGCGACCCACCCCCCAGACCATTGGAACAACAAACTCACCCCCTAAACCACTGTTGCCCCGCACCAGCCAACACCACTGGCTGGAAACAAAAGCACCGGGCCCCCACGACCGAACACCGGAGCACGGGTGGAAGGGGTAGAGCAAGAAAAGCGACGCAGCTCCGCCACCCCGACACTAACACAGCAAGCCACCTAAGCCACACCCCACCCTCGGTTCCACAGCCCAGCCAAATCCACCACGAGCCAGAGAGATTGACGACCAAAGACACGAACCGGCCCCAGAAATAAAGGCGAGATCTGTCCATAGAAATCACCAGCACTCGCCAGTGCAATGGACTCAGGGACGCAAAATCGGAGCAAATTCCGGACAGCCGAGGGCCGACTACCGACCCAAGCTCGGTTATCACTGCAAAATCGAAGGAAAAATTTTGGGGGAGACGGCAGACGATTTTTAGGGTAGAGAGAACCAAGAGAAAAGAGAATAATTATGGTGTTTACTATAAGTGTTTCAATTTTTCAGAAGCTTAAAAATTTAAATAGGAGAAGGAGATGTCCTTTTAAGCGTATTTAAATGGGAGAAAGAGATATCATTTTAGGCGATGAGTTAGGCTAGGTTAGAGGTTGGGGTTGCAGAGATGTTGGATCGACGATTACACCTGCAACATTCAACGATGAGATGATACACCTCGAAATATCAGGTGATACCAGTCAAAGGGTCGTTTGGCTGAGCACTGTTTGATCTCCAATTCTACTTTAAACAAAAATCTACAGTAGAAATAATGCCTCGTTATATGAATTACGCAGGTATTAAGTACATTGCCTCAGTACGTGAATGGGCGTCATTACTTGATTGTTCTTTCTGACAAGGCACATTGGTTATTGATCCATTTAGTATTTGAAGACACGTGTGATTTATCCTGCACTTATTGTTTTATGGGTCCAGTGCAAGTTATTTATGACCACATGTGTTATAGCTCGTGTGCTCATAAATAGGGAGAGTAGTTGCTAGAATATAAAAAGCTCGGTCTTGAACTAGGGCTCTTTAGTACCTCGGTCCTAGACTAGAACTTCCTCAGCTCGACTTAGGTCGAGTGGGTTGATCAGGTCGATCAGGTGGGTGTGCAGGGTAGGTATCCCAGAGGTGTTAGGTAGATATATTAATCTAAGATCTATATAGTCTAAAATCTAGGTAATCGAGCCGATGAAGCGAAGGACCTGAACTATTCTATGTGAAGACTCTAGGTCGACCTGGACAAGATACAATTCTTGAGCAGCAAGGTATAAAATTCTTGGGCAACAAGGTAATCATTCCAGTATATAAAAAGTGAAATATGACTATTAGAGATTCCTTTTTATGTTCTGAGTAATGTTTTTACTATACACATCATATTCGAAAGACTGACTTGATCATCGGAGAATCTACGTTGGGAATCCCCCAGACACTTTCTCAGGTACTCTAGTGAGAAGGTCAAAGACAATTTGGNAAAAAAAAAAAAAAAAAAAAAAAATCGGTTACCCAAAATCAGAATTATTTGGTAGATCTTTATCACATATGAAAGGACATATATTACCTAGTTGAATTTACTTAGATATTTCAATTTTGATACCGCAGATGGAAGAATGTCAACATTTTTTTTTCCGCAATGATAGAGAATTTTTAAACACAAAATGTACAAAAATTACAATACGGGAGCCAACTGACTCGAATGGTGGAGAGCCACTCAAACCCAAGTACTCTAGAACCAAACAACATAAAATACAAAGCACATGCTAAGGCCGACTTTTACCTTGACACCTTTAGCATTGCCAGCCCAATTCAATTACACAAATAAGCAAACATAGCTATCCTCAAACTAAAACCACAATTGTCAACACCAAGAACATCAAAGGAAAAGAAACAGAAAATAGAAGGTATACAGTAGAGTGCCCACTGAACCAAAAAAGAACCTAGACTCCTCAACTGCACCTCTCAGCTATCCCTGCAGCTCTTCCTCGAAAACTCAAGCCAGTAACTTTGGGCCATCTTGATGATCACAGGTGTTGGCATCCACTCCATCCTGAATACCCGCAAATTTCGTGCCTTCCATAACCGCCATAAGAGATAGATGGTTAGCTCAATCTTGGCTTCTGAAACCTCCAACCTACTGACAGAGCACACATCCATCCACCATTGCTTGGAAGTTGTTCTGGGGACTTGAGTAAGGTCCCAACTGATAGGTGCTGCTTTCCACGCATCTTTAGCCAATTGCATTGGAAAAAAAATGTGTTCAGTTGTCTCAAGATCCTCACCACAAGTCTGGCATATACTGTCCAGAAGGATTCCTCTCTTCCTCAGTATGGTTTTGATAGGCAGGGCATCAGACAAACACTTGCATAAGAAGTGTTTAAGTTTACCTTTTATGTTGAATTTCCAGCTCCTTAATCTGATTTTTCTTAGAATTCTTGTTGATTTTCTACCCTCTGTCACATCAAGGTCTCTGAATTAGTCCTCCACCAATTTGAATAGGCCTTCGCAACTGAAAAATCATCACTTCCCCCGTTAGTCCATATCCATATGTCCTTCTTACTAGGATCAAGAGTGTTGATTTGCAGTATACAAGCACAGTCCCTTTCATTGAACATACTTCAGAGTAAAGAAGCATTCCATCTCCTGCCACCATCCTCAAGTAATTCCAAACCCACTGAATGTCAAAATCACAACCACTCGTTTTCAATGGGATGCCAGTGTTACAAGTCATTACCTAAGGATCATGCCAAATCCTATTGTCCATACCATCTCCGATTTGCACTCTAAAACAATGTTTATACTATGCCTCACATCCATCCAAGTGGACCAAAACCAAGATAAACTTTGTGAAACACCAGCTTTAAAAATGTTCTCAGATGAGA